GAGAGAGAGAGAGAGAGAGAGGGAGAGAGAGAGAGAGAGAGAGAGAGAAACAGAAAGGAGAGTTGAGAGTGAGAGACAGAGAGAGAGACAGAAAGAGATAAAGACAGAGAGACAGAGAAACAGAAAGGAGAGTTGAAATAGAAAGGTACATTCAAAGACAGAAAAAAAGAGTATTTAAATTCCTTTTGCAGCTGGGAGATTTAGCTCAGGGGATAGGGCACTTGCCTAGCATGGGCAATGCCCTGAGTTCAATCCCCAGTACCAAAAATATAAAATAAAGTTCTTTTCTTTATTGTACTGGGGGTTGAATGCTAGGGTGTTCTACTACTGAGTTATACCCCAAGACCTTTACATTTTTTATTTTGAGACAGGGTCTCACTAGGTTTCCCGGGCTGGCCTTGAACTTGTGATGCCTCAGCCTCTGGAGTAGCTGGAATCAGAAGTGTGCACCACCATGCTCAGCAGAGAACAATATTTAAAAGAATAACTGTGGCTGGGTACCATGGCACACACCTGTAATCCCAGCAGCTTGGGAGGCTGAGGCGAGAGGCTCACAAGTTCAAAGCCAGCCTCAGGAACTTAGTGAGGCCCTGAGCAACTTAGTGAGAAACTGTTTTTTTTTTTAAAAAAAAAAAAAAGTGCTGGGGATGTGGTCAGTAGTTAAGCACCCCTGAGTTCAATCCCGGTTACAAAAAAAAATTATCTTGGGAGGAAATGTGGGTGGTGGGGTACCAGAGTGACTCCATTTCTCCATTTTCTGCTTCTCTCAATAAGAACTACTGCTCTGTTGAAAACTTTTATATTCAGTGACTGTTACTTAACTATTTTTTTTCTGTTGTTTCATAAAGGTAACCCTGAATAGAGCAATTTATACTATGTTTCAACAATGAATTGAGAAAAGCCATTCTAAAGAAATGGAGCATTTAAGTTCTTTTATTTATTTATTTTTTTGTGTGGCACTAGAGATCAAACCCAGGGCCTTGTGCATGCAAAGCAAGCACTCTACCCACTGAGCTGTATCCCCAGCCCAAATTCTTTTAATGACTTACTTGGGATACGTTACTTTGATTGACTTAAGTAAGTATATTCAACAAAAGTCCCACATAAGCAAATCGGTTTTAATACTTCCTTCCTGTCATTAGAGAACATCCTCTATCAGATCTAGGAGAAATCATTGACATGTAGGTTTCAACATAGCCTTCTACTGATTTGAAGGAATTCTTTTTACATTAAGCACACAAGTTGTGTTGGCTACATGTGTTGAAAATATCTTCTCCCACCTACTCACTTGGCTTTCCACTTGCTTAATGGTTCCATTTAGTGAACAGAAATCTCTAATTTGTGGTAGTTTAATATATTCATTTTTTTCTTGTATGTATGATTAATGGAACTTCTTCTTCTGCATTCTTTTTAAGGGAATTTTCCCTAGCCCCCAAATCATGGAAATATTTTCTTATGTGATCTTCTGTAATTGTTATTATTGTATATTATTGTTATTATAATTGTTATTAATTTACATATAAGATTACTTATAATTGTTATTATTTTATTTTATACCAGTTGACAGATAATCTACCTGGAATTGATATTGAGAGAGATATACTAAACTCTCTCAATAACCATTGTGAAATTTCTATTTATCCTTCTAGTTATGTTTATATTTGCTTATATATTTAGATTTACAACATAGCTACCCTTTTCATTACTATATATTCTTTGCTACATTTCTTTGCTTTAATTCACAATATATATATGTTTTCCTTTTGCCTAAAGGTAGGGTACTCATTAGTGTTTAGTGTCATTCTGTTACTGATGAATATGTGTTATTCTTAGCATGACTTTATTTCACTCTTGAGTTTTCAATGGTTATTCTGTTTATTACTTTTCAAATTTAAGTTAAATTTATTTGAAATCATAAAAACAAAAATTGAAGGCATATTTTGATACATGTGTGTATTGTATAATGTTAAATCAGATTAAACATATCCATCTTCTCAAATATTTACCATTTCTTTATGGTAAAAATTTCCAGAATCCTTTCTTCTTTTTGAAATGTCAATGCATTGCTGTCACCTATAGCCATCCTCCTGTCCAATAGCACATCAGAACTTCTTGGGGTTGTGGCTCAGTGGAAGAGCGCTTGCCTTGCACATGTGAGGCACTGAGTTGGATCCTCAGCACCACATAAAAATAAATAAACAAAGTAAAGATATTGAGTCCATGTATGAATAAAAAAAGTATTTTACAAAAAGAACTTCTTACTTTAACTGTAATTGATAACTTTTTCCCCTTCTTGTGTCTCTCTCGCCAATGACCTGCACAAATGAGGTGAACTGGGCTTAAAAGAGCAGGCTGCAACATTAAGCTAAGAAAGGGGCAAAAAAAAAAAATCACACAATACAGAGAATAGTTTTTAAACCGAGAGTAGGACAGCTCTGCAGCCTTAAGGGTCAGCTTCCATGCTGGAAAGAAGGTTGGAACAGGGAGTACATGCACCCGGAATCCCTTTATTTATAGTGGTGGGTGTGTGGCAGGGCATCAAAGGGGGATAAGGTTTCAAGGGTGGAATCTTGCTTCCTGATGTCTTCCTGATGGTCAACAGATTGACTGACATCTTGGCGAGTCACACCCATCTCAGGTGCGGTGTAAGATCTTAGGCAAAGGGGGAGGTGCACCTGCATCATGTGATCGCTCCCTGACATGGATTTGCAGAGCCAGGCCTCTCCCCTCAAGAGGCCAGGATGCGCAACACAATCCACGCACAGCCCAGACAGCTCATGACACCTCTCCCCTATTCTTCTCAGCCTCTGGTAATCACCGTTCTAGTCTCAATTTCTATGAGATCAACTTTTTTGGATTCCATGTATGAGTGAGATCTTGTGCTCCCTGTCTTTCTGTGCCTGGCATATTTCATTTAACATAATGATCTCTGGTTCCACCCATGTTGTCACTAATGACAGGATTCCACTCTTCTTTATGACTGAATAGTATAACGTTATGCATATTTACCATATTTTCTTTATCCATTCATCAGTTGATGGACACATAGGTTGTTTCCATTTCTTGGTTATTGTGATATTGTTGCAATAAACGTGGGCATGCAGATGTTTCTTCAACATACTGATTTCATTTCCTTTGGATATATGCTGGGTAGTGAGATTGCTGGATCATATAGTAGTTCTATTTTTAATGTTTTTTTGAAGAACCTCAAAAATGTTCAAAATGTTTACTGGTTATTGAATCCTAGGCTGGAAGTTATTAACTTTCAGTAAGTTGAAGATTCCATTGGCTTCTGGTTTCTAATATTTGTTAGGTAATCAGCTATCAGTATACTGTTGTCCCTTTGAAGGTAATATTTTCCTTGCTTTCTTTGTATCTTTTTCTTTTTTTGTATTTCTGGGACTGGAGATCAAATCCAGGGCCTCTCACATGCTGAGCAAGTGCTCTGCCACTGAACTTAGGATAATTCATTCAGGACAATGAAGAAGGAAATAAAATTTCAACAAATAACTGATGTTTCAACTGCAGACACTTTCTTTTGACTATTTTTAATATTTCTCCCCTTTCTACTGGGCTTTCAACAGTTACTGTAGCATATCTCAGTCTGATTTTCTTTGTTTTTAATCCCTCTTGGGGTTCCTAGAGCATCTTGAATCTGTGTCTTAATTTTTGTCACACATGAAAACTTCTCAGACAATCTCTCTCTAGATATTTCTTTTCCTCCATTATCTTACTCCTGTGTATCTTAGTCATGCTCAACATTTTTTTTTATATATCACTCATGGTCCTTTCTGTATTTTCTATCCTTTTGTATCAGAATTCAGTTTCTTTATTTTTGTGAGGCCTTTCTTCAAGTTCCTAAGTCTTATCTTTGGCTATGTCTAATTTGCTATTAAACTCATCTATTTAATTCTTAAATTCAGTTATTGTGCTTTTCAGTTTTAAAATTTTCATATTGTTTCAGTTGTACTTTCTATCTCTTTGCTGATCTTCTTATTCTTTTCTTGAAATGTATTCAAATTATTTGTAGTTATTTCATAGTCTATAAATTACAGCTCCATTATCTGAGTGTCCTATGGGATTATTTGTATTGATGGTTGTTTCTCTGGGTTTTGGTCATATATTTCTATAAACCTGGTAGTCTTTGATGGTCAAAGTACAGGAAAAAATGGTGAAGCTTAGTGATATTCTGTATAATATGAATCCATTGAGAATATACATTCTTCTTTTGGAAGGGAAATAGGACAGGGACACTGCATGTCCTTGATTACCTTAAGTCAAAGATTGAAAAAATTTCAAAATTGGGGCCTCAGTCCCCATGAGGGCTAACATGTTTCTGGATCATATGTACTCCTAGGGAATACTCTCTCAAGGTCTCATAGCATACGTAAGAGAGACAATTGGGTTTACATTTTATAGATGGCAGAAATAAGAGCACAAGAGATAGTATGTGTGTTAGTTGAGAAGAGTATCAATGTTCTTGAGTTTATTTGTTTCTTCACCCAGCTCCTTTCCCACCAGACTATATCAAGTTGAGATCTGACATTTCAGGACAATGAAGAAGAAAATAAAATTTCAACAAATAACTGATGTTTCAACTGCAGAGTTAGAATTATGGGATTTCTTAATAACCATTTCTCTGATTCTTATACAATGCATTTTATTTGATTCAGTATTTATTC